GCACTCAGCTTAAGAAAAGGCGAAATTGAAACTTCAGTCAGTCCTCACAATGTAGCTGCTTCTATCTCTGGACTGTGTTGAAACAGCTTTGGATGCATTTAATGACTCCTCTAACAACCATGATTATTTTTACCAACACAAAATTTTGACCCCATTTTTCTCTAAAATTAGTAAATGTGGTTTGGCCCACTTTGGCACCAACCCCCTCAGATAAAACCACAGTATCAGGGCATACTGACAGTCTTTACTAGTGGTTATTTGATTAGATAAGGCAGCTATTTTTCCTAATAGTGTGATTTTTCAGGCAAAAACATCAAGCATTCCAGACTTCAATCATCTTTTTTTTTTTTTTTTTTTTTTTTAATTATTCTATTAATGTTTGGCCTAAAGTTCCATTCAAAAGCCGTGTGAAGGTGCCACATGCCTTGCTTTGTCAGTTTAATTGAAAATACCGAGAATTAATCAGTAAAATAAAAACAATTAACCATCAGTAACATACCTGTGTTAATTAGCTCAGACTAGCTTCACTTTAAGCTGCTACAGCTGTTAATTGTTGCTCACACATTAATACAGCAGTAATCATAATGTAATAATGCTATACAGCCTAAACTGTAAGTAAAATACGTGGACACTTTTTGTTCTTTAGGATATTCAATATGAAATAAATAAAAGGCTATTGCATTACAGTGCCAAGTCTCAGGTTTAACTTGAGTAGGTTTAAATCAATACAGAAAGAACTGTGCAGAAAAGTTTCAACACTGCATGCCTTTTAGTACTGCGTGGCCAAAGTGTAGGTGTCTAATAGTAACTGGACAAAAAGTCACATCAAAAGTCAGGCTACTGTTTTTTACATAGCACATGTACTACAACAGTCGTCAAACTAAAGTGTCTTCCAGCAGAGAAATAAGATTGCCGTTTAGAATTTACCAGTTTAAATACTGAGGTGAAGAACCTATAGTGTAATTTATAATGTGAATTTAGCTAGATATATTGAATATTACAGTTTAAACCCTACAAAAGTTTTATAAAACACTAATTTCGCTGACTATATTAAATTGGAATGTCAATTATGGAGACTTACCTGACTAAAAAACTAAAACTACACATGGTAAATGAGATTACCTACAAGCAAGCATATTTTAAAGTGACTCTAAGATATAAGTGATTAAGTTAAAAGTTAGTATTTTAGGTTCTTGGGAACTTTTATCGATTAGTTCTGCATACTGTTGACCGTTGGTTGTCCTAACAGAACTCTGATGTTGCCTTAAGCAATCATGCAAACTTTTATATCAAACCTGAAACTCATTGTTCTTCTGTTTGCCATTAGTCCTCATACAAGCTCATCTACCGGTGCAGGCGTTTAGCCAGGTGCTGCAGCATGTTTGGCCTTGCGTCTTTTAAGGTTTTTTTTTTTAAGGAGCTATATAGTCCAGGGTGTCAGAGCCAGACGAGAAGTCGAACAAAATCATTACATTTAATATTTTGTGGAAAATCTTATGTAGAGGGACTTTTCCCTGCACTGAACATTTACATTTTTCTGACTTAAGTAAAATTTATAGTGTTGCATTAGTGAATACTTCGTTCATCACCGGTCGTCATGAGTATTTGTGTCGCCTGTGAGCCCCGAGCTGAAAGTTTCTCTCACATGCGGTGAAACATCACACAGGCGCTGGTCATTCATCCTTTATGAGCTCATGAGGAGACTCCTGTTGGCAGCTTGTCACTGTGACAACCCACCGACGCCGACTTCATAATGTCACAACATGATACCTCGGAGATATCTGAACTTCACACAGAGATGACTTTACACGAGAGAGCGCAGCCTTATGAGAGGTGGGAGGATCAGGGAAGATGAAAAATGTTTATACAGCTGGATCTGAGGTGCTGTTTGTCGAGAGGTATCACTCTGCTCAATGCACTGCTCCGGACAGATTTGGACACACACTGGATCCCACTGTTGGTGTGGAGATTTGATCTTCTGGTGTTCCCTGTCCATTCATTAATGTGGTGTGTTAGGGCAAATCACTCTACTGGAAATGAGGATTTTGGTACAAGAGGTTCAGGTGATGCTTCATAAGCAGATGGTGGATGAGCTTCTGTCTCTTTGTCAGGGTAACAGAAAGCATGCAGAGCTTTAAACTACCTTTGTGTGGTGGGTAAAAGAACAGACAGCTGGTCCTGCTCTGTAGTCTGCTAGTGCTGCATTCATGCTTCAGTACTGCTCTCATACAATAATCCAGTCTTATGTGGAAACGACTGGTCAAAGCTTGGTTTTCAACCAGAGCACTGCAGGCATCTGGTAATTTTTAGATTCAGTTGCCATGGTGGTATATGCTACCTCCTGTAATATAACGTTTTCATTAGTTCATATGATATAATGATAATTATCCTAATATAAAACTGTAGGGGGAAATTTAGAGTTTGTTCAAAAGACATGATTTTTTTTAAATGGGAATAATATCTGCTGCAAAAACATAAAACTCAAATTAAAGGAGAGGGAAGACATAAAGTAAAAACGTCTAAAGATTTCTTTAGCAAACTACTGCCATCTTAGGGGGCAATAACGGCACTGCAACAGAAAAATGCTGTGACTCTTAAGCTTTCATTACACTAGAATCAGGACAAATCGCTGTGCTACGCTATGTGGACGAGTTAGGAATGTTTGAAACATCAATTTTGAAGGGACAACAAATTACCTTAATTTGCAGATAAAAGTGTAGTTTACCGAGGAAACAATTCACACTTAGGGAGCCTGTATTCGATTTGCATTTAACGGTTCCAAGTATTGCAGTGTGGATCTCGTCTTCCCTTATTTCAGGTGAAATAAATCTTTCTAAAGATGGATATTTTCCTGTGGCAAACAAACAATGCTGCTGAGTTCATAAAGCTAAATACAGCATGCAGGAATTTATCATAACACAGGTTTATTATTAGTAGTCAAAATGAATTTACAGAAAAGACAATATGTAGGTTACATTGTAGTCATTTGCATAAAACACATTCAGAAGTCCTATTTGTTTCCTAAATGAAAAGGTAAAGACGCTCCACAATGTTCGCAGGTATAAAGTACTTATAGTCTAACACTTGGGAATACAGCTGCAGGTGACAATAAAAGGGGTCCGAGTACATCGTTTTGATATATATGTAGTGAACAACAGATCCCATGTGTAAATACAGTTCACAACAAACAATAGAGAGAAACTGAAAGCTTCACACACTAAATGTCAGCAGCTACTAAGACCAATGACTTTACAGTTACAGATCACAAGGCCATCAGTTTTTTGTTCTTTTCATTAACAACAAGACACCAAAGCTAATGTTACTTTAATGCAGTAGTTTAGTAATTACCTTTAAAACTTCCATCCATCCATTATCTATACATCGCTTAATCCTCACTCGGGTTGCGGGGGGCTGGAGTCTATCCCAGCTGACTTAGGGTGAAGGCAGGGGACACCCTGGACAGGTCACCAGTCTATCACAGGGCTACACTTAGAGACAGACAACCAAGCACACACATTCACACCTAAGAATCACCAGTGAACCTCAACATGTTTTTGGACCTTGTGGGAGGAAGCCAGAGAACCCAGAGAGAACCCACGCGGAGAACATGCAAACTCCACGCAGATCGATCCCAGTGCCCCCACCGGGACACGAACCGGCGACCTTCTTGCTGCGAGGCAACAGCCCCCTTTAAAACTTGATCTTTATAAATGACTTTTCTGGAATTCAGTGTATCAAAGTGAGTTTGTAAAAGGATGATTTATGTTGAGAGGATTTTATATTCAATTCAATTCAATTCAATTTTATTTGTATAGCGCATATTTACAACAACAAGTCATCTCATAGCGCTTCACAAAGGCAGAAACAGAAACACCCAACAATCCAAAACATTTGGATTCCCTATAAGCTTCATAGGGATCTTTCTTTACTACCAAGTTTCCTGGACAGAGCCGAGAGGAAATGTGAGAAGACCGAGATGAGAATACAATTCAACAGGTAACTGACCACTAGGTTTTAGTGGGAAAAAAAGTTAATTCTCACAGTCTTAAGAGCTTCAGTGAAAAGCTACTGGACTTCTCTTTTAGGTTCTTGAAGCTGTTTCACCTCTCACCCAAGAGGCTTCATCAGTTCTGCCTGTTAGATGACAGGTGAAACAAACTTAAAAGAGAAGTCCAGTTGCTTTGTACTGAAGCCTGTAAGATCACCACAACCTGGATGGCTGAGAATCTACACAGACATTCACAGTGTTTGGAAAAGACTCAAATCTCCAGAAACTTTACTTGTGTTACATTGCTAAAATCTGGTTATTCACATATAAATCCAGCCCACTTTGATAAATGAAAACCAGATTTCACCTGCTGACTGGGACATGAAAATGGATCCTTACATCATTCAGAAAACATCAATTATGATATAGCATTTCTAACTTTGGCACCCTCTAGAGGCAAGCTTTCAAACACACAAATTTAAAAATGTAATAACTTCCAAACCAAAAGGAGCCTCGAAATAAAAAAGTAATAACTTTTCTACAGCTGGGACCTTTGAAATCTTTTAAATAAATATGAAAACAGGGAAAACTTTTGAGAACTTTGGACACAATTCAGTTGAGGAGATCAGTTGGATCCTGTTCGAAAATGATGTGAAATAATTTGGGGAACTGCGAAGTTAGATGATAGCGACACTTTGAGGTCAGCTGAAGTTTTAATTTTTATTGTAGCTTGAGAGTCATTATCATCATCATTATCATCATAGTCTTCATTCCAAGAGGGTCTCAGCTCCTTCTGTAGTCCTAATGAACACTTCACTGTCAGAGTTCAGTATTAAACTCCGGCACACTGCTGGTTTTTGTGACCTCTAATGTTAAACCTGCAAAAATTGAAAATAGCAGCTTTTTTCCCCTTTTTGGCAGCAGCAGCAACAACAACAAAAAGAAACACGCATTAGGGTATAGTAAGAGTATTTTTCTGAGAAAATTGTGTTTTTCAATCCATTGGACACTAGTCTTCAGTAGTGGATTAACAAAGGGAAGATCATTGTCATAGTGGCTACATTATGTATTGAGGGGGAAATGCTTTATTTTGTACAACAACCAGAGTTAAAAACAATCACAGTAAGTACAAGCTAGTTTTTGTAAATATAGACTACCAGTGTAGCAACGTCCTCTTGGCTCAAAAATTCAAAACACACATTATACTAACACCACAACTGATCTTTAACATCACTATTCCAATTTAAAAGTAAGTTCCAGCAGAAAATCACTGTAAGAATATGATCCTAAAAATGACTTTGCTTACACAGTCAAAACTTTGTGTTTAAATTAAAAAGGCTGATGTGGCATTTGGCAAATATGTGACTGCTTTTAAGCTTTTCCTTACATCATTGTAACTTTTAGGCTAGAATGAATAGACTTTTGGCTTGGAACTCACTTTGCTGCAGAAACATCCTTTGGTGACTCACAGAAGTCCAAAATTCGCTGACTCTGACTTTCAGGTGATCACAGTAGAAAGACAAACAATGATTGTGCTTTTCAGGATGGTGGTAAACCCGATAATCAGTAATAAACACACGTCTACATGTGACAATATGGGGTTTTCCCACTGGGGTGGTTAGTCATGCTGAGCTGTGCCACCATCATCCACAAGTCATGACTTCAGCCAGCTCTGGCACAGCTGAGAACCATCAGTAACCAGTAAATTAAGGCTCGTATCCGTACAAACAAGGACACATGAGTGAAACCCAAATCTAAATCACATAGATTCAGAGAGAAGCTCCAAAAGCACAAAGTACACTAAAGACACTTTTTAAAACTCTGTAGTCTCCAGCGCAGTTCACTGGACAAAAGCAAAAGTGGTCGATCCTCCTATTGAGCAGCTGGGAGGCCGCAGTGGAAATGTCTTTGTTGTTCAGTGCAGCTAAAGCAGGCCAACACAGAGTAGTGGAAAACCCTCTAAATGTGACAAATTACTAACAGAAAAGGCTGTGCTTCAGTTTAACCTATTGTCAATAAAAAAACAAAACACTGATAGTTTTTAATAACCATTTCCTGCCCTTATTTTACACACCAGGAGGAAACAGTAAGGGCAAATGTTAGTCTGTCACATGAACTGTTCCAGTCCAAAGACCTTCTGATCACAACACTCTTTAAAAATCCACCAACAGAAAAATGGCACCACAAAGAAACTTAAATAAGAAGGTACCTATGACAGAACAGTTATTTAAAGTGCATTATATCAACACGCAGAAACACAAAAAGGCCTTTGAAAGAAGGCAAAACTCATCAAATCACATTATAAATCAGACATGTCATCCTTGTTTGAATCGCACAAAGGTACAGAGGAGAGAGTGTTAAACAAAGCTGTTCTGCAGGAGGCCACGGGCCTTAATGTCCTCCTCTGAGAAAGGCAGATTCTTTAAAAGCCTGTTTTCAAGCTCCTCAATATATTCAAGCTGCAGCACAACTGAGGAGCTGGATGAAGTGCTGGAATCACGATCGGAGATGTTCTGAAATAATGTCACGCTGTCATTCTGATCAATCTCACTGTGCTGACTCATGCTATCTCCATCTGATGATGTGTGGTTGTTACCAACATTTCCATGTCCGCTATGGTGATTACTGATTATTTTGGCATTAGCTTCAAAAGGCCTTCTTGTGGTCCTGACAGGCTTCACGCAGGCCTTGGTGTTGGTTAAGATCTCCACTGGAGCAAAGCTGCTCTGGGAGAATGAATCGAATGGTTCCAACTCTGTCGTCACCATTTCTTCAGAGACTGTCTGGACAATATTAAGGTTCCACATGTCTCCAGTCTGTCTTTTGTTTTTGTCAGGGCTGAGCTGTGTGCTCAGGTCTACAAGGATGCAGTCAGAGTCCTTTTCGCTACCTTCTGTGTCCATCTCTTCCTCAGATCCATCTTGCTCCAGGCACTCTGCCTCCCAGGCTTCTTCATATGACCTACTACATCCACTTATAGGAGACTCAAATATCACACCTTTAGGATCAAGAGGTCGGAAGTGCCTGCGTTGAAGGCTCATGCATGCTGATGGGCTGAGCTGCCTCTCAGGCTGTCTCAACATGTAGTGTCGGACTGACTCCGGTACCAGGATTTCATGGCGCTTTTTACTTGGCAGCAAGGCAGAGAGACTTCCAGGAACACAGTTTCCCACAATAGGTACAAGGGAGGTAGGTTTGAGCGCAGAGACAAAATCCTCCAGCTCTTGGTAGGAGGAGTGGTCTGAATAGGGCACTACGTGGACGCTGGGGTGAAAGGAGACCAACGGCCTGCTGGTGGGCAAGATGGCCAACGTGGGTTGATCTTTGTTCCACTGGTACAAAGCGGCAGCAGAAATCTCTGATTGATTCACGACTCGGATCCGACCGGCCCCTGTCTCAGTAGTGAAGACATCAGGCAGCTCCAGAGCTTTGAGGGTCTCCATCCTCTCAAAGCTCACTTCAACCCAGGTTTTAAACTCCATCGCCAGATCCAACAGTAGGGACTCCTTGCCGAGTGTATACAGGCCTATAAGACAGAATGAGGGTCTGTGTCTCTGCACTTAGCAACAACAAGGAATTCAAGATTAAACCTGCAATAACAGATTTTTTGGACACTTAGGTGTAGAGCTGCATAGAATAATCAAATACTTGTCAACAATCGAGCAACTTCCTTAATAATCAACAAATTGGTTTGACTAATATTTCAAGAAAGAAAAGTCACAAATCTCTGATAACAATGTCTTATATTTGAATATTTTCTGGATTCTTTACTCTTTTTTGAGAGTAAACTGAATATCTTTGGGTTATGGACAACACAATGTCGTCTTTGGGAAACACTGAGTGACATTTTTCACAATTTTCTGACATTTTATAAACCAAATCAATAACTTATTTATCAAGAGAATGAGCAATAGATTATCAGATAATTAAAATAATAGTTTTATTTGCAGCCCTACGTAGGGGCAGCAGAAACAGTCTGTGAATACAACACAAACTTATCACCTTTTAAGTTGATGATGGGAATTTGTGAACAAACAACTTCTGGCAGTTAAGGAGGAACATTATGGACGGGTAGGTTCTACAAAGCGCTTTACAGTATGTTCATCGTTCACCCACTCTCTCACGCACACAGACACACACAGACACACACACAGACACACACAGACACACACACACAGCCACACACACTCACACAACAATGATGTCATGCAGACAAACATTGCTGATAGAAGTTCACTACCTTCCAGCTACTTTTGTTCTCTGTCAGCTCTTGACAGAAATACATGAGTCTTTGGTTGCTAAATGCACCTAAATGTGCATCAACCAGTTGTTAACCGTGTCTGTCTGCTGGTTGCTGCAAACAAGTCTGTACAGTGGATTTTTAGGTGCTTCCCCTTGAAAACAGCTGCAAGCACTGCCCCAAAATGATGCCATGATAGCTCTGACTGTGAATCAATACGGTGCAGCTGCTGGCAGGAGAGCTAAATAATGAGCTGAAACTTGCTATACAGCAGACAAGAGTTCACCACTGTCCCATGTTTTCACAGTCATTGGAAACTAGCTGGGTATTTTTTCATTTCCAAAAAAAAAATCTCATGATTTTGTACTTCAGCCCCAAGGCCTGGGAGATAATTCGATATTTTTTAACTGAGGAGATGCTACATTTACAATTTTTTTCAACACAAATTCCTCATATGTACTAGGTATTAAATGCTAAATGTCTATACAAGTCAGACTCTGCACTTATGGGGACAAAGGTAATGGAAGTCTGAGATGGGCTCAGCCGTCACATGTCCCTGCATATTGTAAGGTTTGGACTTCACTGTGTAAAGTGACTTGAGATGGCATATGATTGAATTTGGTACTATATAAATAAAACTGAACTGCACTGAAGGTAATGCTGTGCCCGGACATATTAGTTCTTGTGAATAAATGAGCAGTTGTGCAATTACATTGTCAAAAACGGCACATACAGTCACAATAAATCATGACTTACCTGTCACACACTTACCTGATAAGTGAAGATTTACATATTTACAGAGAGCTAGCCATTTATGTGTAAAATATATGTTGTAAAAGGTCTATACAAACTCACCTATGACAACAGTGTGGTTGGGGTGCCTGCGAATGATCTCTTTGATTTGTTGAGTGGCTCGCTGTCTGGTTGGCAGAGTTCGGTTGGGGTCACAGTTGGTGTTGTCCAGGTACAGGACGTCTATAGTGGTGTTGGTCCTTAAGCACGGCTCACGCAGCATCGAAGGAGTGTATCTAAAGTCACCTGAAATTAAGAACATATAAATGCTAAATATGGATTTTCATGATGTTGGAAAACACAAAAATGAAAAAGGACAGGAAATAAAACAAAACACGGCTTTAGAAAATATTTCATACTTCAGAGACGCATTAGAGAAACTGACCAGTGTACAGGATAGAGCCAAAGTAGCCTTCGAAGAGAAACATGACTGCTCCTGCGCAATGGTTGGCATCTATCAATGTGACCGTGAGCCTCTCCTTGCCGATGTCGTCCAGCGGGAGCAGGTTTGGCTCACCGAGCTCCAAAGGATGGATCCACTGCTCTTTCACCTGAGCACAAACAGAAATGATCAATAGAGAATAACACAAAAAAATCTTAGCGCTGCAATACATCTACTCCAGCTCTAGTAACCTCAGATTTCGTCTGATATACTTTCAATGTTACACAAAAACATCTGCCACACAGTCTACCGAGATCAAATAATTATATAAGGTATATCCTATGAGTGTTATTCCTACTACTTAATGAAGCAACAGGTGAGTGACAAATTCAAGGACAGCCTTGAATAAATGAGTGGAGAAACACCAAAGCACCAAATGTAGATGCTTGCCTACAAGCACAAGGTCATGAAATGGTTTGTGGAGTATAAAAATTATGTTAACTTATGTTGTGGCCTTCGCAGTCACATCAGAACCCAGCTGAATACCAAAGGAGGACTGCTGAAGCACCACATGAAGGAAACTTTTGGAGTTTGACAGTTGTGAAGAATTCATACTGAGAAGCAGAAGCATCAAAGCTGTTCTGATGGATAGCAGCAGCCCAACACATTAAGACATTGTGGGTGTTTTTGTAATTTAGTTAATCACCTTTCTGTATGCTACACATATTTAAGGAATATTTCAAATGTAAATGGCTGCATAATAGTTACACTATGATATGAAATGGGGAATTTTAGAAGTATTGCTCATGACCTTATGTACATATTCATGTGTTTTACACTGACTTATTTGTTTTTCAATATTAATGTGACAAATAAAAATGTGGAATCCTGACTAGACTTTAAAATTAATATCTGTTGGTTTCAGCAACAGAGCTTATTTAAGGCATACATTTTGACTTGTGATAACAGATACTGCACAGGCAATAATAATACCTTTAATAATAAATACTTTTGTGTTGTGTTCAGGGATCCCCGCAAAACTTGTCAGTGAAACAGTGAGGCGGTATTAATGATACCAAGTCCTTAAAATGTTAACAGCAAAATTAAGGGTAGGCACTATTAATAATTTTAGTATTTCCACCTGTGCCTTTCCTGCTGTGAAATGTCAAATGCTAAGTCGAAACAGATTTGACACGACCCTTCTCACACCATATATTTTACCATGTCACAGTCAGGAAAGGACAGGTATTTAACAACAGCTGCATTCCACTTAGGGAAGGTCCTGCTCTTGCATTTTCTGTTTCACTTTCATGCTTCACTGGGACTGAGTTATCGTTAATTCAAAGGTGCCTTCCCAAATGTGCCAAGTTAAAATGTCTGCTGTGAAAAATTGGAAGAGCCCATCCCATTTGATGATTTTAAGCCTTCTCGTCCCCTCTGCATTCCTGCCCATGACTCAGGAATTAATCTTGGTGCGCCATCATTAAGGATGTTGAAATTCCTAAAACGCAGAGGCTCATCAGAGAAGCTATAAGAGGGGGATGCACTTGTGTACCTTCGATGTAACCTTTGCCAAAGTCTGTCTTGCACATGACATTAAAGATGTGTGACACAGCAGGATGGGCAAACGTATGTACAATATATACAACTCAATCATCCTAAGCTCTTTACAGTACTCTGTACAAATCTTTTATACTTAACTGCATGCGTGTGTGTGTGAGTTAAATAAGAAAATACAAATGTGTGACATCTGTGCATTCTGGTCATATTATGCCACATTATGAATGGAATTAGAAGCAAATACAGGCTGTAAGCTCGTCTGACAGAGATCGTAAAATGCAGTGGTAGGCATACAGTGGACAGATGATGTAGCTGTGCTTATACAAGGATGATTACAATTTTTCTTCCATCCTCAGGCACATCTCATTTCACTAATCTAACATTATCGACTCCTTTCCTCGACTCCTCCCCTTGAGTCTTAAACTCACCTACCAGAGATGTGAGTGGAGCAGGTGAGGAAGAGAAGCATAAAGACAGGATTCAAGGCAACATGTATTTACCAAAATGAGACATCCTCACCTTGAATGCATCAGTGTAAAATTTCATCAATTACATTTGGCGTGTGGTACAGCAGCATCATCTGCCCATTGTTTTGGTAAAGCCTACCACTGTATTTTTATGATTTCCATCTATCTAACAGAACAGTTTTCATTATGACTTAAGTGGCATATGTGTGCAATGAAGTATAAAAAAAACCTCATGGCACACAAAGAGTGCTACGCAACATAAAAAGACAAATATTGTGACTGGGTATTATATATAATATACACACATTTGTCAGTCCTGCCTCCAGTATGGTTTGTATAATCCAGCTGTGTCACGCCTCCTTTATGTCATGGGAAGACTTCACTGACAATAAATCAAGGATACACCTGTGTATCCTCACTCATCGTTCCTCCAGCGAGCCTCCTTGATGCTCGATCGTCTCTCAAGAGAGCTAAATTTAGCGTAATGAGAAGAGCCTCTTGTGCATCTTCCTTGCCTCCTCTGCTTGAATTATCTGCTGTGATAAAATTCTGTAGTGGCTCTGGGTATGCCCCATTAATTGTTGGTTAAGATACCGGTGTAGCTATGTGCTTACAGCTCATGCATCTCTTTTTCTTCCTGTCACTTTCTTGTGCTCTTTCCTGTATCTATATTGCTGCAACAGGTGAGTTCCCCCATTGGTGGTGAAAAATAACGTGCAATCTAATCTAAAACAAAACTATGAGTGAAATACAGAGAAAATCTGTGTAATGTCAGTATTCCTACTCATGGAAGAATCTGTGCAATATCAACGTTGTTATTTCTACAGATCTGTGCAATATTGTCATTTTTTCACTGATGTTCCCCACACTATCCCCTTTGCTGCTGTGTGATTAATAAAGGTGTATTTCATCTTACACTGAATGGACTTTTCTGGGTGAAGAAGACAGTCCACTTGCTAAACTGTGAGACACTGACAGCTTTGGACTCAGGGGTCGAGTGTGTTTCCGTTCAGACGTGCGTGTGTTTCCTCTGAAGCTTCTCTCACCTGCAGCTTGAGTCTGAGCAGGGCGGCGCTGGTCGGTGAGCAGTAGATGGGCCTGTTGCTCCAGGTGGAGGTCAAACCCATGGTGTGGTCGCTGTGCATGTGGGACAGAAAGAACAGCCGGGTACCTGGACATTTCCGAACATACCAGAAGTCCACAGCCAGCGGGGTGTGCGGGATGACTTTCCCATTGACGGACATCGTTGACGGCTTCACTGGAGGACGCTCAGGTAACTCTAACAGGTTCGTCGCCAGATGTTTAGCAGCTGCTCATGTCAAAGTTATTTCGACTAACACGCTGTCGTACTGGTATTCTGTGGAAATGTCGTTGCAGTGTACACTTTAAACCAAAATGTCAACGACAACTCAACTCACTGTTGGCAATAAAATAATTTTAAAAAAGACACTAAACTGTTAGCTAGCTAAGACTGGAGTGAATTCCTGCTGCTAAACACAGCTGTAACTCTGGTTAGCATGTTTTAGCTGCATGCTATTTTAATGCTTCGCGACGCTCCTGATGTCAAAAATAGCTCTCCAACCGTCTGGAACATATTCAGCTGGCCGGTCGTTGCATTTTCAGTGTGCAGAGTGCAGCTTTGACAACCCGCCATTTCTGTTTTCAATTTAACGCTTCAACCCCTCCTTCCTCTCTTTTTCTTCTTCGTTGGTTTCATACTGTAGCTGCTGACCTGCTGTTTGCGCCACACTGACACCGACAGGTCACACTGTGGTGGCGCCACTGGCCACGATGAAAACATCCAACCACTCAGAAAAATAAAGCTTTTTTCTGGTTCTTTATAGCGCCATCAATAACTGTGATGTGGGTAGTTGTTCTTTTCCTTAAATTACTGAAGGTGTTATTCAGTGGCATGAAATTAGAGCTGATAAGATAACTATTATTTACATCATCGATTAACCTGTGGATTTTTTTCCTCAATGAATCAGTTAATCATATTTGGTCTATAAAACATAAGAAAACAATGAAATGGGTGCAAAATACAGTAAGAACAGTAAATAATTTCATATATTTCTATTTATACACACACATTTGCATCTGTATACATAGCTATAGTACAAATTAGGACAGAGAGCCTGTTAAAGCGCACTGCACATTGAATAAAACATTATATTGCACCTTATATATTGCGCATAAACAGTCTGGTACAGATTTTCAGAGTGAGAGTGTGTGACTTCAGCAGTCTTTATGCCTGGGGGAAGAGGCTGGTGCAGCACCTGGAAGTTCCACCCTGTGTGCTGTAGAAATTCTTGCCAGGGCAGCATGTTAAATAGTCCTTGATGAGGGTGGCTGTGGGGTCATTCATGATGCTGGTGGTCTTGGTTGCATAGTGTTTGTGTGCAATGTCCTGGATGGATGGAAGTGAAGTCTAATTGATTGTCTCTGATGTCTTCATCGCTCTCTGACTCCAGTCTGAAGCGTTGCAGGCCTCAAACCAGACAGAGTTGCAGCTTGTCAGAACGTTCTTGATTGTGTGTCTGTAGGAAGTGGTGGAGGAGGATGGGAGGTGGGAGTTAGAGTGGAAAAATTGCTGGGCTTTCTTGACGCATTGTTTAAATGTGTTATAGTGGAAGACCTAGAAATGGTGCAATTTCATTTACATTTACAGGTCACACATGAAGGTTTTTAAAGTCACTGTGTCTACAGCAGTTAAATCCATTCACTGTTTTCTGATATTTTGTATGGATCCACAAGTTCATTTAAGGCTTTAGCGGTCTGTGTTCCCCCTGAGAGTAACTAAATTATAGTGCCTAAAGATACAGTTGAGATGGTTGTTTGAGGCACCATTGGGGGTCCATTAAAGATTTATTTGCAGAAATGATTCTTTAAAGAACCTTTTGTTAAGATAAAGGTTTTCTCAGTGAGGACTCCAGTGATGATAAAGATATCTATATAAAGTCCAGTTTCCACCAGAAAAACTTAATTCTGTTCAAACCAGTTGCCAATTATTGTTATTTTTGACACAAGATAATATAGAACTATAAATATTAGTTAAATCAGTAAATTAAAATTTACGATATAAAACTAAAACTGTCCTACATAACTTTTTGGACTAGCTGAGTTGCTTTAAAGACAGCAAACTCACCAAAAACTTTTAGTCAGTGATAAACAAAATTCTGCATGAATGGAAATAAAATGAACATACACTAAACATAAAACTTATGAACTTGAAGTGATTCACTTCTAAGTGAACTTTAATAAATAAAAGTCATGTGATTGTTCTTTTTCATTCATTCAATCAATCTTTATTTAAAATTTGTAGTACATTTAGGTATGGAAGCCTCATATACAATAAATCTGTACAATAAAAGATGTAGGCACACAAACAGGAAACTTGCATGGCAATAACAATGAAACATCAAAAAGCAAAGCTTATAAGATCATTAAAACATTTATTGAACCATTTAACATTTAAAAACAAGTGATTTATCTAAAATCTGAATTGCCCTCAGGATGAAAATGAATCATGCTTCAGACTGCGGGGTATTCCTGGGTTTTTCCAGACTTGGTAAAAACTGCCGGGACCTGCAACTTAATCAACCAGTCATCTGAGCATGTTTGGTAAGAGCCCACGTTAAAAGAAAACCACGTAGTATTGGGATGTCAGCCTCCCTTTTTGTGCCTGACAGGAAGGGAGGCTGACATCAGCATACAGCGCACAGTGACGAGTGTTGTGATGATGACCAGTAATGAATCTGAAAGCAGATTCATCAACACTGATAGATCATGTACAGATTGAAAAGTTCTCTCAAAAAGCCTTTTTCCCTTCTAAAATGCAGTGGGAAATGAGATTTATTCTTGTAAAAAGAAAAAAAAGAAAAAAGAAAATATGTCTTTGCCACAGTTTGGATTTGTAATTTTTTTTTTAGCTTCCCAAACTTCTTTCTATTTCTTGATTTCATAGCGTGTCTTCTGTGTTTATCTCTATGGAGCACTTTGTGAACTTGTTTTTGTTAAGCATTGTACAAATGCAGTAGTCAAAGTTGATTGATTGATTGTTTGTAAGTTGTGAAAGACAAACATTAAAAATGCAAAACAGCCAACATATGTGCTACACATTTTATTGATTAATCAATAATGAGATTATACACATTATAGCATAATTTAAAGTTTATGCGGTTTTACTCAGCTTAGTTTATGTTGTTCGATAACAAACTGTAGCCACAGAGGAGAAAGAAAATGGCTGAAATATGTTCTACTTTCCACAAGATGGCGCCAACAGAGAGCAAACAGCTGTGCAGTGACAATTACATTTCCAGCAAAATAAAACGAGTCTGAAGGACATTTTTTTTCTAAGCTGTCCATGTTATGAGAAGATTCTAAAAGGAGAGAGAAGGTTTTTTTTTTTTTTTTTAATCTAACAAACGCACAAATAACAGAAAAGATCCTCGCAGATATGGCAGTTTATTTTTAGTTATTTTTTTTAGAAAATGCACAATTAAAATGGTGTTTATGTGACTGTGGCATTGATGGATTGACTCTTCTCTGTAACCACAGTGACTAACTCACCTGTTAAATATACTGTATAGTCATGCAGGTAATCATCCTGAACATCATCTCAGCCAACTATCTGTAACATATGTACATTTTTTTTGTGTGTGTGTCTGATATACTGAGGAAAAGGGGGTACTACTAAATGGGGGCGTTGCTATGGCGATGACAGCAGCCCATTGTAGCGCCCCACCCCCACCCACCCTTCCGTTTGCACACTGCTCACTTTTCAGGATTATACCTGGGATTGCAGCGCAGCCCTCTCTTATCGCACCATGTGTGTCCTCTCCCCGTACCTAGGAGCGCATTAATCACACCCTGCTTTACAGTTAATTATCTCTCTCTCCGCAGACACACACACACACACTCGTGCATACACTCATGCATGCACAAATGTCTCTGCAGGAAACCAGTGGAGCCCTTGTTACTATTCACATCTTATGCTTTGCGATAAGTAAGACAACTGGGAGAGCCTCAGATTACTGCACACTCTCACAGGGGTAACTTCAAATAGTCAAGGAACAAGACGGTAAATTAGAGTTATACTCCTGATGTACTATGCTTTATTTTTAGAGTGATTATACATAACTTCTGAGAAGAAAGAAATTCCCATGTAGCACCTTGCCTACAGCTGCAGTACAGTAACAGGGTTTCAACTTGAGTGAAATATTGATAACTTACGTGCTGTATAGCCAAGAAACCACTCCTGAATGAATACATCATCACATATTTTCCTCAAATGCTTATAAATCCTCATTAGCAGTAGCAGCGATTTATATGCACAAAGCAAAGCTGCACTATTTTTATTCTCCAGAATGATAAAAACATAACCATGGTGACAAGAATAAAATCAGCTGCAACTGTTTTCAAGCCAAAGGTTGCCACGGTCAAAGGGATGAGTTTTCATTCTGTCATGTTGTTATGCAGGGAAAAAAAAAAAAAAAAAAGACAAGAGTGCTTACAGACAGCAGCAGTGATGCTATGAAAGCAGATGGCTGCACAGTCTGTGATCTGCCACTGCTGTTATTAAAAACAGGGTTTTAAGTCCACATACCTCTACTGACCTCAGCGCGTCAAAGTGACGGTACACCTTCCCGTGTGCAGCTAACTTAATTGTCTTTTTGACTTGCTAGGAGAATTGAGGGTGTGAAATGTTGTGTTTCAGAAATGGCATTGAAAACTCTCTCTCTCTTATCCCTGACATCACTATTAATCGATCCCACATAAATACAGGGCAATGTGAGCCACCTCTGTTCATCCGAGTCAACAAATTGGTGCAGTCAAAGGCGATGGCAGCTTATGTCTTATATCCCCTCAGGGATGATGCAGTGGTGCTGCACACTCCTGTAGAGATATTTATGGACACGTGTGAGAAGCCAAAAATGTCCCATGGGGGGGCGAAGAGGAAGTTTGGCTAAAACAAGCTGGTGAGAACACATATCCTCCTTCTGGCAGGCACTCTCCACTTATTCCATCTGGCTTTCTCGTTTTATCTCTCTGTCACTGTCCTGGTTCCACTCTGTCTCTCTGCGCTGAAGTGCCTTGTGCTTCATTTTCTTTGACTTGATCCTCTTCAGCTCCTCAATGGAGGCTTCCCTGATGTCTCTATTTGTGCTTTTTGCTGTTTGTCATATCTGACACACCAGCATAAACTCTTACACAATACCACAGCGCAGCAGCGTGATTGCTGTCCAACCCGTTTTTAGAGCCAGTCTTTGTGACCACCGTCTTTTCCACACTGCTGTAACAACACCCAGTGTCAGAGGTGGAGAAGCTGCTATTTCCAGCCAGGCTTCGAGCCATGATGCGCCACAAAATGCTGTTGATTCCCTCACTCGCTCATCTGATTTGATTGGCTCAGTTCATTAGACTTTCAGGAAGTGAGCCGGGCGGTGTGGCACGCAGGCAGCCTGGTGGAAAAAAACCTCCACGGATCCACAAAGGGTGCAGTTTTAGGGTCTGCATAATGTATAGCAATGTGCTGGTGGGTTGCTGTCACGGCAACGCTGCATACTGAGAGGAAGATGATTCTAATTGTGTTCCTTGAGGGCTCCAAGTGTTTTTGAATGTCTCTTGGTATGATGCAGT